ATATTCATAAACTATTAATCATAATTTTATATTTATAAGATCTTTAAACAATAAGAAGTTAGATCAATTATCTTTTTACCACTAATAATTATATATATATAATAACTAAAATTATTTCAATATTTAAAAAATTATAATTTTATCTAAACTAAAAAAATAAGAAATAAACCTTAGTATTATGCATATAATTCTTATGATTTTCAGTATTTATTATATTGAATTTATATTATTATTTTTTAAATAATAATATATTTTGTTGTTTTTAATTATACAATATATTTATATTGTTATCTTGTTGTCTAATCGCTTTTGCATCCGCTGGCGAACCAGTCAAAAATGTACCGCAGATACACCCGCTCTTAATTACTATACCAGTCATATGTTAACGCTGTTAACTGCAAACTCCCGTATCCGCAACCGCTGCGTTTAAACCAGTCAACTCTTAGTCTTTCATGGCTGTTACCTAAGTTATAATATTTAAAATAAATTAATTATTTTGACTGTTTTAATAATTAAATTAAAAATTATTACAAAGGCCAAAAAGAAAAATTTGTTTCTTTTTTTTTGTTGTTTTGGATTACATTGGTAATGCTAGTAAAACAAATGTCATATGTTTTACCTAAAAACTAAGAATTTCTTCAATAAGATCTTGCTTTCTAAGACCTTTTTTTTCATTTGAAACTATCTTTTTCATCTAAAATAAAAAGTTTTTATGAATCATTGAATAATTCCTATTTGTGCTTCTCACCTTATTTTTGTTGACTCTATTCACCAAAGTTAAACAAAATCTGCAAAAAAATTTTGGAAAAAGAAAAGGAAAAGGAAGATGATAAAACTCATAAACATAATGAAATCGAGAAATCCACTAATTTATGGCAACTAACTGGAAATTTCCAAGGCCTATATCATAATAATTGGGAGAAAAATAAAAGTTTTTATTCATTATATATTTCATTTATCTGGTTGTGGATACAGAAATCCACACTCAAAAATTTATGTGTTTTGTAAGGAAAGGACTTTAGGAGAATTAAGGGTTAGATTCTCTCGAACAGATTAACAGTATAAGCAAGCACTAATTGAAATAAATTTTTGGTATTAATCGGGTGAATTAAACAGTTACAGGATTTCTCTGAAAGAGATGAATTGAAAAGAGCTCAAAAAGCGGTTACAGAGTTCTCTTAGTCTCAGAAAAATGTAGAAGAAGAAGAGCTCCCTAAACTAAGCCGTTTGTCTTCTTTATATAGTTCTTCATGTCGACCATCAACCTCCAGCGCGTATCTCGGCCACGTACAGTGACCTATCTAGGAAATCCTGGGCTCGTTTGAACTGGTGAAAATATGCTCCGACTTGGTCTAGATCCTTCCTTGTTCCTCGGGATTTCGTCGAGCTGGAGCTCGACCTCGTCGAACAGAACGCTGATGTTCAGGCTTGGATCGTTGCAAAGGATTGGGCATGAACTGTATGGATGAAGCCCAGCCAATCTAAGCTTAGTTTAGATTTGTTTGTTGGGCTTGAGTGGGCTGGATTTATTGTGCGAAATCCAGTTCCAACACCGATGATGGTAAATATATTGAAGTCGTTTATGATTTATGATATGTATTTCTGGGAAAATGAAAGAAGATAAGGTAGTGATGGGTGATTTTTTCAGTTAATTTCTTTTTGGTATTTGTAAGTTAATTAAAATCTCAATGGTTTTGGGCTAAATTATTAAATCTGTAAACAAATTTATTCCGGCCTTATATTTGTAAAAATAATAAATAATTTTGGTCATGAAACTTCTGCAAATGCAGTTCGTGCACATAGAAAGAGCCAAACCTGCTTATATTTATTCAAATAAGAGTAATTTATAAAAAAGGACCATATGATGAAGTTAGTTGTAAACTTGTGATGAAACATAATTGTCCACAGAGTCGTGCTTTAGGAGGTTTTATTGGATTGATGTTTTAAATATAATTTTAAGCAATTGTATTTGGGGTGATATTATTGTAATCACAAATCACAAAGTAAAACTTTATATTTGTTTTACTTATGTTTTAAGAAAAATTATATATTATAATCTACTATAACTGAATTACTCTAAAATCAAGTATATATTAAAATCAAGTATATATTGAATAACAGTATAACACTAGATTTTAAGTAAATATATAATGTAATAAGTGAATAACACTATCCAATAACACTTCCTTATGTATATTCAAAAAGGCATTTGCCTTATGTTGACAACATAGTGTATATAAAAAATTCAGAGATCTCAAATATATAAAAATATTTTATATCAGAGTGGTTTAAATGACTGAGTTTCCATGTTAGCAATCCAGGTTTGACTCTTCGCTAATAGAATTTATATTTTAATTATGGTTTTAAAAAATAAATCAAGGTTCCAAATCAGAAAAAATATATGAGTCTCCAAATCAATCACCGGATATCTGATCTCTGTATGTCGTCAATAGGCGGGATGAGATTGTTTGGATCGTGTGATCTCAAGTTTATGTAGAAACCGTAAAAACCGAATAAGAAATGCGATTAATAAAATCGATTGGAGACGATAATATATGATACAGAAAGCAAAAGAAAACCGAATAGAGAAAACCGAATATTGGAGGCGAGATGATCTCTTTCCGTAACTCAATAAATCACTCGTAGTGTGATGGTGATACGCGATTTTTGAATCTCAAGATACAACTGGTAATAGACCGCTTCGCAACACTCGAAACGAAATCTGTGAACTTAGATTAGTACAATAAACTCTCGAGACGTACATTAAAAGAAGAAGATTTGCTGGAATTTTTCAAGAGTGAATTTTATGTGTTTTCGAACTGTGGAATAATGAGAGTCACGGCTTTCTTTTAAAGCCAGAAGAGAACGGTTTAACGCTCCGCGAACCTCCACAGAAGGTGGCACGTGCGCTCGTTACGCGAAGAGGGGAAGTGGACGGAAATCGTGGAAAATATTTTCTTTTGGTTGAGAAAAATTCTTTCCAACGTTTAAACCACAGAATATTCTTATGGCTTTCAAAATTTGAACTTCCACCTAGCAAGATAAAGTTTCAAGGAAAAAGAGTTAATATTAACGAAGAGAAAAAGTTTGTTCATAAACAGCTAAAAACCATAATGATTAGACTTAAAAATTTCCTAATAACAACAGTGCCAATTGAAAAACAGATTTTTATTTCTACTTGGTCAATATACCCAAATTACCTACTAAAACTGAAATAGTATAGTGTATAAAAATTAATCAATCTAAGGGATTGATTTAATGTCGGTGTAAGATGGTTATCTAAGTCAAGCAAACAACTAAATGTTGGGTTTTTAAACTAGAAACTTAACAAAAATAGGATTTGTGTCACTCAAAACCATAAAGTAAATTAAATATACGGGTGATTTTTAGCAATTTTAGAGATGTTGATTTTTGGATGTCTTGCATCGGCTTCGTACATCGGGCCTTGATCTTTGGTGAAGTGCTTCAGCGAGTTGCTGTCGTATTAGGTTCATCCCGTTGTACTTGTCCGATGTTGCAGGAGAAAAACATCTACTTGCACGGGTTTCAACCGTCTTCCATTGGGGTCAGTTTGTTGTTTGTGACCGATGTGCAATCTTTGTGCTAACAATATCGGGTTGTGAGCCACTGCATCTGACTGATGCTCCAAGAGAAATAGTTTACTTTGCTCATTTAGCTTCCGAATCACTTTCCATCCATTGACGTGCCTCTTCCATATTTTGAACACCTAAAAAACATTCTAAACATACAAAATATGCAAAATCCTAATTTAATGTTTTCTAGACCTAACATAAGTGCAAACGATATAAAAACTAAAATAAATATGCATAAATGCAATTTTAACTATCATGAAATACATGGAAAAAGATACAATTTGCATAAATATCAACAATTTCTACACATAAAAAGCGAGACCTGTTTATGTTTATTCAAATAAGAGTAATTTATGTAAATGATCATGTGATAAAACTAGTGGCAATAAACATTATTATCCGTAAAAATAACATTTAAACTTCAATAAGTATTGTATCTAGAAATTAGTATGATATTAGTTTGAACAATAACATTGATTTAATAACAGATGTATAATTCTTTGGTACAAAGTTTGCCTTTGCTTCCAAGAGGTCGTGAAGTAACTATCCCTAATGATTATGGTTGGAGATTACTCTTCGGAGATACTATTCGAATCTACATGGGACTAAACAATGATTCAACACCGAACACATGCATTGTTATATTTAAATTTAGATATGCATGTTGGAACAAAATTAATAAAGATTTATTAGGCTTTATCAATTTGTGTATGTGTGAATAAGAATAGATTGTAGCTCATACAAATGAAATTTTTTATTGGCTATAACTCTTTTGTGGGAAACTAACAAAAATTATCAAAGTCTCACATTCGAAGTTTGAAAAAATTTTGGCTAGTATATTAAAGGATCATACCATGTATTGGTTCAAATGGTTAAAAGAGGAAGAGATGACATATACGTGCGCGTGTTGCCGCCACCGAGCCGAGCAGTGGCCCGAGGTTATCTTTTAGATTTGGCTCTTAGGACTCTTCAGTTCTATATGATCACAAGGGCTATAGATTATTGATCACATCCTAAACGTGCCACCCAAGTTTTGTGGATTCAATTGAAAAAACCCTAATCCTCTCTCTATCTTATACATACAAATCGTTAGCCTCTTTTTTGATCATCTGATTTTTGAAATCAAAAACACATAGCAAAAATAAACACACAGTTTCTTTCATGTGCCTTGATGCATCATGTTAGTTATTTCGAGAGTATTGTAGAGTTAATTTTATCATATCCAAAATCGAGTGTTGCCATTCAGAGTTAAACGATTGTATTAATAAATCATGATTAAATATGTCACACTACGATAATTTTTTGATTTTTTGAGTTAAAAAAAAAAAATTTCGATCTTGATTCCATTTATTGTTTATGCAATTTCTAATTTATTCTTTCGAAATTTTATTTTTAACTCATTTTATTCTATTTTTAATTATCACTTTACGTTCATGATTGAATAGCTATTACCATATTTTCTAAATTGTTGATCTTACAACGCACACCAATCACAAAACGTGACGTGAAAAATCTATACAAACAATTTACAATCCAACAACTAGAATTATATAACTCAACCACCCTGGAAAACTTCTAATCGCACATTCTTATTCCCAAACTTTTGAGAGAATCATATCCCCTATGCAAAAATTAAAAAGATGCAAAAGGTAAATAGATTTGGATTTTTGCGTGTTATGTTAATCATCGTGTTAACCGGAGAGTCCCTCCTAGCTCTACCGGAACTAATGGAACAAGTGAGTGAAGAACGTCGGTTATCAACGGTCGGTAACTCGGTTCTAGCTGCACGCACAACACAGCCATGGCTGCTACCTGCGTAAAGAATCAATATTCTTGATTCAACAGTATGCAAGGAGTTGCAATCTCACCGGTTCTTTATCGGTTTGATCCAAAACAATAAAATCAAACCGAATGGACTTAAACCGATTCTATCTTCAAACCAAACCTGATATAAGTGCTTCAGATCCATTGTATCTTTTATAACCGGATCCACGATCTTTGGAAGCTTCGATCTATCGGTAAGTTGTGGCATTGCCTGCACCAATCAACACATCTATAAATCATTAACCGATTCAAAACCAACACATTTTTGTAGATATTCTTAAACCGGTTATATACACTACCCAAGTCACAAGCGATTGGCACTGAGATGGACTCAATTTCTCAACCGGCCTTCTACCCAACAAAAGTTCAAGAAGAACCACCCCAAATGCATACACATCACTCTTATCCGTCAACTTTCCTGCAGAACACAAGAATTGTAATCAAACCAACGGTTCCGGTTTAGTGACCCTACTTAACCAGTTTCTGTTAACCGAATAATGAATCCAGGAGAGAGTGAGACTAGACAGTCAATATATCGATATAATACATAACACAAATCATTGGATTTTTTATTACAGTCATTAAGAAGTTAATATATTACCGTCTAGGAGATATTCTGGGGCAACATAACCAAGTGTACCGGAGAGCTTAATGTTGTTATTACCGTGCAAACCAACCGATACCGCAAGACCAAAATCTGAAATCTGCATTGTTGCAGGATCAAATAGATGTAACACAAGAAAACAGCACATATCAGAACCAAATAAAGACATTGATTCTAAAATCTCACTTTACATTGAAAGAAGAACCAAGATCTAGGACTAAGATTCCGGTTTAGAGCTAGAACCAGTTCTAGTCAGACGCGTTTTTAAAGCAGTAACCTTGGCATTGAAGGAGGAATCAAGAAGAATATTGAACCAAATATCAGAGCCAAATAATGCCAATTTATTATGAAATCTCATTTTACATTGAAACAAGAACCAAGATTCCGGTTTAGAGCCAGAACCGGGTAAAATCAGCAACATTTTTAAAGAAGTATTACCTTGGCATTGAAGGAAGAATCAAGAAGAATATTCGACGATTTCAAATCCCTGTGGATAACTGGTGGACGACAATGCTCATGGAGATACTCTAGTCCTCTGCGGTCAAACAGAGCGAAAAGCGGTTTACTATAAAACCGAGATTAACCAATTATAGAACCGGTTTAGGAGCTAAAGTGTCGGCTACTTATTTTATACCTAGCTGTATCAAGAGCAATCTTCATACGCATATGCCATGTTAGAGCTGATCCACAAGAAGGTCCTAAGACATTAATTATGAAGATAGAAACATTAAATTATGTAATTATTTCAATTCAAGTTGACACATGATCTGTTTAATTCATGTCTTTTCTATCATCTGTCATATAAATATATGCAATTTAACTCTTTAGGTTTAACAAAATCATAATTGAAGGTTTCAGAACATTTTTTTACCATGTAACTGATCATCTAAGGATCCTTTCTCCATCAGCTCATAAATGATGAAACTCGAGTTGATTTCACTTGCGCAGCCCAACAATGAGATAATGTTCGAGTGCTGGATCTTGCTCAACAACTCAACTTCATTCTGAGATCTCCAAGAAATCAAAAGACTCAAAACAAAGATCCAAGAATCAGAATCTGAACGCAAGAACTTGGTTTATTTATTTATCTCACCTGAAACTCGTGTTTAGCTTCTTGACAAACGTTTTCGATCTTTTTAACCGCTGCTTTCGTGTTGTTGTCCAGACAAGCCTTGTAAACGCATCCGAAACCGCCTTGTCCGATTACATTACTCTCTTTGAAACCGCCTGTTGCTTTCTCTAGCGTCTTGGTATCGAAACTCTGCACATAGCCCTTATTGAAAGATGTTCTCCTCTGAGTTTTGATTGAGCTTAGTCGTCTCATAAACATGGCAAATGAATTGCCACTCTCAGTATCTTCATTTGAAAACATTTGACAAAGATCAATACAAAGAAACAGATATTCAAAAACAAACTTAAAATTTTGATAAGAATCAATAAACACAGAGAATCTCATAAAACAATGAAATCATCAAGAACCAATGAAATTACCTGAATTCTTGATGGAATTGGGAGATTTCTTCCGACAATAAACCCATAAGCCTAAAGAAAAGAGGATTATGAAGCCAAGACAAGAGGAACTGATTATGAGACCAATCAGAAGTTTCTTATGCGCATTGAATCTGTGTTCTCCGCCACTTCCCATTTGGATTCCTAAAACAGAAAAGCAAAAGAAACTTCAAAAAAAAACCCAGAAAATATATTCAAATCATCAATCAAACCCAGGTTTCAGAATTTCAGAAAGGGATTCAGATTAAAAGGGAATTTTATTTTCTTACAATAATAACCAAAAAAAGGACAGGAAGTGAGTAGCTCATAAATAGCATTTAATTTATCAAATAACAAACAAATTTCGTTTTGGTTTTCGAAATTCGAGGACGCACAGATCAAATCCACAAACCCAGAAATAAAAGAAAAAAAACAAATGAAGTCAACGAAGTGGTACTAACAAGAACACGATATCGCACAAATAAATTTTAGAAATTCGAGCTATAATCATTTTTAATAATTTTAAAAAAAAGAAATGGATCAGTTGAAGTAAACGAGAAAAATATACCAGGAGAGAAAGCAGCCATGGAAGTGTAAACAGGAGCTATAGAAGGGTTTAATGAAGAAGAAGAAACAATGAGGAATTGAGTAACAGAGATCTTCAAAAGAAACAGAAAATGAAGATGAACATGAAGTTTCTTCATTTTTCTTTTTTTTGTTCTTTTGTTTTTTTGCTAAGAAAAGAACAATTTAGAATCGATTTTACTCTCCAGACTTTCTTGGGTTTTGAGATTCTTTAGAAAGCGAAGAGTGAACGAACTATCGCTTTCTCTGTAGCCTGTCTCTTTCTCACTCGCTGTCCTGTTGAAATCACTTTTATGATTTGCGTAAAGGAGGGAAAGAGAAAGGAATTTGTAAAAAAGTTGGGTTCTCATTTCTTGACCATTAGTATAATAAAAAAAATGTGATGAACTAACGAGGAAAGATTCGGGACACAGAGACACTTTCTGTACTACTACTAAAGATTAAAGAGTATTTCCACTCCTTTAAAATTAGGTGAATGATATTATACTCCTCTGATTGTTAAAATTTTTTTAATAATTTTTCTTCCTTTAATCACATCTACATTTAACGGTATATCTAACCAATACTTCTGCGCTCTATGGGCATTCCGATATTCAGTTTAGTACGGTTTGGGTTTTCCAAATTTTGGGTTTTTCGGATTTTAGAAAAGAGATGATATTTACAATCAAATACAGTTCAATTCTGTTTAGTTCGGGTTTCGAGTTTCTACAAAAATCTCATTCAAAATTAAATTATATTTTTGTAATTGTAAAAAACTTACATCAAATTCTTCATCAGTTTCTACATATAAAAATTATGATATTGTGATTGTAAAACTTATAAAGTAAACTATTTGTTTACCATTGTTGTTATATGATGATATTTCAAAACTTTTTAACTAACTAGGATGTAGTCTGTGCGCAGGCGAAATTTTAAATTTTACATTTTATTTGATAATGTAAATATATAAAATTAAAATAATATAAAATAATATTTTATTTAATTATTCATATTTTATGTATATTAATAAAATATAATTAATCGGATGCTTTTTTATACAATATTAATTTTTTTGTAAACGTTTAATATTTATTTAGATATATTATAAAATTGATTTTTTTCATAACATTTTTTTTAATGTTTCTCTCTCTCTTTATTTCTCATAAACACAATATTTCAAACGAACAAATAATATTTTGACACGATTTTAACTTAACATTCACCTTTAATCCTTATAACTCATCTCCATCTCTCCTTGCTCCCTCATAAATATAATATTTTAAACTACAAATAATAATTTAGTATAGTTTTAACTTAACATTAATCTATCTTCTTCGTAACTCTTTTTTTTCTCGCTATTTTTAATATATGTTTTTAATTTAAGTGTTGTAAAATTTTTATAAAACTTTGTTTGTTTTTATTTGAAAATTGTGTTTACCAGATATTGAAAAAAATAATAATAATAATAGTAACGGTTTTCTCTCAAATCTACAGTGACGGAGATGGTGATCTAGGGTTGGATGAACTGCAATCGGGGAGATTTGGAAGGATTAATCGACCTACGTGGTACAAATCAAGGTTTTTCTGAAGGGAAATTGATTTGTGGGATCGCGATTGGAATTTGGAAAGGGGTTCATTTGTCTTTTGGTCGGGTTTGGGAATTTGGGGGTTCTCACGAGTAGGACCTCTTCTCCGGCAATGGGCTTATCAGGTGCACTTTCTTCGGGAGGAGCGGGTATATGCGAGGAAAGGAAAACAGCAATTCTCCCGTCTTACAATATCTGCGGGTGGTGTCCTGATGGTGGAGACAACGGCGGACCGTGTGAGGCTGAGATTATTCGCCGCAAAGCGAAGCTTTGGGTTCAGTCGGACCTGGGATCCTAACCAGGCTCCATTCTGTATGGATGGTAACAAGAAGGAAGAAAGACGAAGGCTCCAGTCTCACAACAAATGGGAGATAAAATGGAATTTTCATCTTTATAGGGACATTTTCAGATCCTCCCAGCACCGTTACTTGGGGATATTGGGTACGATTTCCCCTCTTACTCCCTGCAAATTATGGATTCTTGTTATGGGGAAAACAGGTAACGTGGAGATAACTGATACGAGCACAGGGTTAAGGAAAAAAGGGGTTTTCGGAAACTATATCTGCTAATAGCTTTCACAAAGTTTGGATTACAATCAGTGCGGCTTTATCAACTAAAGGAATGGTTTCATTGCCTTTGGATTTGGTTGATCAAATTACTCAATTCGAGATCTCGGGAGATAATTGGTGATGTGCGTGATAACAGGATGCTTAATACGGATCTAAGTATTACAGATTCTCCTGATTTGGGATGTCAGATTTTTCAGCGATTATTATGGGTTTTGAGGACACAAATATGGCAATGGCTCCAGGTATTGATCCGCCATTACTTTGATACATTTGGAGTGATACAGAGTATTACTATGGATTCTCGGGAGTACATTACGGGAGATAATTGTGGGAATAATGAGAATTTGACTGGTATAAATTGTATTACAGGAAACACTGCTTTCTTCATTACTCACTCCCCGCTTCTAGCTTGCTCTTTTAAAAATTATAATACTCTTTGCTTGCTGGGTGCTATTATGTCTCAATCAGGTCAACTTGGTTCAGCTACAGGAAGTAACAAGGGCAAAGCTATGCTGCTTCTGAGGCTCAAAATCACGGTGCCACGATTTGATAATTCGGACTTGATCAAAGGATACTCTGGTACCCTCATTGGGAGGTGTATGAATCCGATGATGCAGGATATGAACGCCCTTCTGATTATGTTTCCAAGGATCTGGAAGGTGGAGGACTGTGTCGCTGGAGCAGACCTTGGTATGGGGAGGTTCCAATTCGACTTTGACGAAGAAGAGGACATCAACTCTGTGCTTCAGATGGAGCCGTACCACTTTGATGGTTGGATGGTGGTCCTAGTCCAGTGGGAGCCGATAATGGAGCCCAACTACCCTTCCTCTTTGACTTTTTGGGTGCGCATAATGGGGGTTCCCCTGCACTTCTGGGCTGACACCAGTTTTCGGAACACTGGGGAGGCTATTAGAGCTGTTCATGAAATTGATTTGGATGGGGGCAGGGTCCGACTGACGCTAGATGCTTTCAAGCCAGTCATTCTTGCCTCGAGTGTCACAGCCTCTGTCACGATGCAAGCCGCTGTCCAATGCTTTATCTGAAGAGAGAAAGAACGAGGGAGAGCAAGTATAGAGATGATAAACATGATGGTGGGGCTTCCAGTTATAAAGGTACCCTCATTGGCAACATTGGCAACGGTGCTCCCTCGGGGTCTGATCATGCACCCAAACAGGGTGATGGAGATTTGTTAAAAGGGAAAGGAAAGATTTCAGAAGATAGATAGGCACGCAAAGTCCCTCCTTATGGTGAAAGATGGGGTGGAGACAAATTGGGGGGCTCCTGGATAACAGCACGACCTTTTCAGACAAGGGAGGGACGACAGCGTTACGGGGGTACATCCAGAGGCATTCATCGGGGTCAGGAGGGACACACACTGAAGCAGAAGGAATAGGGAGTTGCTGCAAAAATGAATCACAGGAAGGAGAGTGTGCCAGAGACTAATCGAACAAGTCCTACACAGCATTCCACCAAGAAGGTCCATAAGGAGCTGGATTTTGAGCAAGAGGTGCTCGGGATGGATGATTTGGGAGATATGATTGATAGAGTGGTTATGGCGGACTCATTAGAGATCGATATAAAGGATGAAGAGGTATTCATTAATAAGGGATCTAAGGAGTTTCTGCTTATGGAAGATGAGACTGATATTGCGACCGCAGAGGATATAGAGTCTCTGCTCATAAACGATGTGGAAGCAGACCTGCAGGCTATAGGGGAGGAAAACTGTGAGCTACAAACCGGCCAATTAGGTACCAATGAGGTACTCAGGCTTGCGGAAAGTGATAGTGATGGCTTGTCGGGCACAACAAGAGTAACGAAGCTGTCAAACCTGTCACCAAGGTGGGAGTGAAGAACAAGCTCTTCAAAGGAGCTTTTGCAGTTGGTGATGGATCAAAGAAAATACGGCAGATTGCAACACCAAGGAAGAAAGGAGTAATTCGGGACACAAAAAGGATTGGTGAGAAAGGGACGATACCTCCACGGAAAAATAAAGGTATAACCGAGGGAGTGGACTCTAAAATTATTGATTAATGCGTGTGTTAAGTCGGAATTGCCAAGGATTGGGTAACAGGTACACAATAAGTTATCTTAGAGAGATTTAGAGGAAATTTAGACCAGATTTTCTTTTTCTCTCTGAGACTAAACAAATGTTCTGAATTTGTAGAACAATTTAAATTTCATTTTGGGTTTGATTTGTTGTTCACGGTTGAACCGTGTGGAGCAAGTGGAGGTCTTGCTCTATTTTGTAATAAAACTTTTGATGTTAAATTATTGTTTGCTAATAAAAGACTCATGGATATTGAGGCACGGTTTGACGGGAAAACAATTTATATGTCTTTTGTATATGGAGATCCGATTCTAAAATTAAGAGATCAAGTATGGAAAAGATTAACTCGAATAAGTATAACAAGATCAGAACTTTGGTTTTTAATTGGAGATTTTAATGAATTAACTGGTAATCATGAGAAGCAAGGAGGAGCTCTTCGGCAAGCATCTTCCTTTAACAGTTTTAACACTATGATTGCTGATTGTGGACTGCTTGATTTTCCAAGCCGTGGTAATACGCTTTCATGGAAGGGATGACATAATGGACAGAACGTTAGATGTAGACTGGATAGGGGCCTTGCAACGGAGAACTGGCATGATTTATTTCCATTCTCATATGTAGAATACTTGAGAATGATTAGATCCGATCATCGACCTATTGTGGCTACAATTGATTAAAAAAAATATAAACACCAAAGAGAATTCTGGTTCGACAAGAGATAGATTGGTCAAGAAGGTCTAATGGAGGCAATAGCACGGGGATGGCAGAAGGATAACCTGGAAAATGACCGGAACATTGTTGAGAAAATTACTACTTGCCAGCATAAGATATCAATTTGGCGAAAGGAAAACCAACTGTATGGAAAGGATAAAATAGGAGAGTTACAGGGACTTCTTGAGGACATGCATAATGATGATAGCAGAACACAAGAGGAACTAAATGAACTAACAAATAAACTCAAAAACACGTACCGGGATGAAGAACTCTTCTGGCAACGGAAAAGTCGGAACATGTGGAATAGGTGTGGGGATCTTAATACAAAGTTTTATCATGCAACTACAAAGCAAAGACAGATAATTAATAGGATTGTGGGCATGCATGATAAACAAGGCGTCTGGGTTGAAGGGGAAAAAAAGGTGGAAAAAGTTACTGTGGAGTATTTTAATGACTTGTTTACATAAACCTCACCAACCAGTTTTGAGGATGCATGCTCAGAAATAACATCGGTAATCACTGAAACTTAAAACATGGAACTGGTTAAACCAGAAACAGAGGATGAAATCAAGACTGCGTTGTTTATGATGCATCCGGGGAAGGCTCCGGGGCCGGATGGAATGACTGCATTGTTTTTTCAGAAATCTTGGGATATTATAAAGAGCGACGTAGTTACAATGGTAAATAATTTTCTTTTTACGGGCTCCTTTGATAAAAGGATAAATGCAACAAATATTTGTCTTATCCCAAAGACAGATCGGCCTACCAAGATGACGGAATTACGACCTATTAGTTTATGCAATGTGGGATATAAGATTATTTCTAAGGTGTTATGTCAGCGGTTAAAAGGCTTACTACCAAAGTTGATCTTGGAGACTCAGTCAGCCTTTGTGGCCGGTCGACTTATTTCAGATAATATTCTGATCGCACAAGAAATGTTTCATGGACTCAGAACAATAAGTCGTGTAAGAAGGATTATATGGCGGTTAAAACGGATATGAGTAAGGTTTATGATCGTATTGAATGGCCTTTTATTGAACACTTACTTCTGAAAATGGGATTTGCGGATAATTGGATCACGTGGCTTATGTGGTGCATTGAGTCCGTCCAATATAAGGTTCTTATTAACGGTCATCCTCGGGGTCACGTAAAACCCCAACGGGTTCTACGTCAAGGAGGTCCTTTATCCCCATACCTCTTTATTTTATGTACGGAAGTCCTGGTATCAAAGTTGAAGAAGGCATAGACAACCAATTTACTTACAGGAATGAAGATTGCTCGAGCTAGTCCTTCAGTTTCTAATATGCTTTTCACAGATGATAGCCTTTTCTTCTGTAAGGCCAGTCAGGAAGAATCTAGAGCTCTGCTTCATATCCTCAACGAGTATAAAGAAGTTTCAGGACAAAAAAGAATTTTTGACAAATCATCGGTACAATTTGGACACACAGTCGATCCAAGTACAAGGGCAGTGGTCCACAACACATTGGGTATTACAAATGTTGGAGGTATGGGTACATATCTGGGGATACCGGAAAGTATAGGGGGTGAAAATACAAAGATCTTTAATTTTCTTCTCGAAAGGCAACAGAAACGAGTAAATAGTTGGACGTCCAGATTACTCTCGAAAGGAGGAAAGGAGATCCTCATTAAATCGGTAGCAACGGCAATCCCGACGTATGCTATGTCATGTTTCAGACTACCAAAAGCACTGACTAGTAAGTTAACCAGTACAGTTGCAAAATTCTGGTGGAGCAACAATGGAAAGACAAGGGGTATGCACTGGTTAGCTTGGAATAAACTATGTAAACATAAATTGGAAGGAGGGCTTGGCTTCAAAACAACTGTGGCGACTTATAGAATACCCGAAATCTCTTTTTGCGAAAGTTTTCAAAGGTCGTTATTTTCGGAATGGTATGCCGCTTGACCCAATACGATCGTACTCTGCATCGTATGGGTGGAAAAGTATTATATCTGCTAGATCTCTGGTACATCAAAGGCTCATCAAAAGAGTAGGTTCCGGTCATTCTATATCAGTATGGAATGATTCTTGGATTCCTGACTCACGTCCGAGATCAGCAATAAGCAAAGGGTATAACCTATACCCCGAGCTAACGGTTAATCAACTGATTGACCCCTCAACCTCAACATGAAGTATACACTTTTAGTACAATTAATTGTTCCGGAGGATGTTTCTCTTATTATTGGACTACCTATCTCTAGGCATAGGAGACAAGATTTTTATAGGTTGGCATTTCACAAAGAATGGACGCTACACAGTTAAATCTGGGTACCTAACGGAACAAGAGAAAAATCTTTTGAACACGACACCTCAATTATATGGGCCAGACGTGAGTAAGCTACAGGCACAAGTGTGGTCATTTAAATGCCCGCCAAAGATGAAACATCTCTTATAGCAAGCTATTTCTGGATGTCTGGCAGTTACCGACTGGCTTCGGAATTGAGGTATTAATTGTGACCCTCAACGTAGTCGGTGTGGGGCTGAACGCGAGACGATAAATCATACACTTTTTGAATGTCCACCAGCTCTACAAGTATGGGCACTATCACCTATTCTAACTCCAACACATGGTTTCCCCACGGACGCGCTCTTTACAAATATGGCACATTTTTTTTTGGCATTAGCCAAAGCACGAAGATATGGAAGTATACTCGTGGCTGATATGGTATATTTGGAAAATGAGGAATGACAAGATATTTTTGAATATTGATCGGGATCCACGAGTAGTAGTACGACTGGCAACAGCGGAAGCAAACGCTTGGGCTGAAGCACAAACGGATATATTGGATATGAATCCATCAAGGATAGCAGGAACATTAGGTGACGATAAGGACGTCTTAACTTGTCAAATGGATGGCTCATGGAAAAAATCTAGTCACTATTCAGGATTATGATGGTACTGTCAAGGAATTGGAGTATTGAATACCTTAATGGGTGCAAGAAACGTTCGCTGCAGTATGTCATCATTACACTCAGAGCTAGAAGCAATGATATGGGCAATGCATAACATGTTGGATGCACACAGATTGGAGATGACTTTCCTCACAGACCTTTCTGATTTGGTGAAGATGGTGTCTAATCCAACACCTGGAGGAGTTCGAGACAAGCAGAAAGGAATTTGTTTCTTTCTCTATAGATCATATTCTGCGCGCGCAGAACACAAATGCAGATAAGTTAGCTCGAGGTGCCCGCACATGCCTTTATCAACTAAATTATGTAAACTCAACTCCTACTGAATCGTTTTAGGAAGATGAGGCTATTGACAAAAAAAAGAAAGATTGTGTTTACCAAATTTTACCTCTCGTAAATTTTGGAGTTCTGTTCACTTGATCACTAATTTCTAAACATGAAAATGCATATTTTTGTTTTTTTTCTAAAATAGTTATAAGTGAATAGCATATTTATAGTGAATATATTTTGTCTAATTCTAAAATTTTAACGTTTATAAAATTTCAAAATTAAGTAATATAATTTAAAATCTATAAATATAAAATAACTAAAATTTTTAAATTAAAGTTTTTATCAATATAGAAATTATCTGTTATGATTAAATAACTTTTCATATTTTATTTGAATCTATTACATTAATAAAAATTAGTTATTATAAGCATTAAAGGATTAAAGAATATAATTCGATAAAAAACTTAAATAATATAAAACATAATAAATGAAATAAAGAATTTAAAATTAATAAAATTAGTTTGATGATGTGTCATAATTTAAAGATGGGAAATAATGAGGTGGCAGAAGAGACTTTTGCGACTACGAATGAAACTACGTTTAATTGGGCCTGATCTCTCGACCTGAGGTCCATTTGACATTTCTATCTGTATCCAAAAGTTTGTCTTGTGTCCTCCAATACATCCAAGAAAGATAGCTTCGAAATAAATAATCTCTACAATATTATTTGAGAAGTAGATTTTTCAAACAATCGAAAAAATGAATATTATTACGAAAAATGCCACTACGATTAATAAGAAATACTGTTTGGCAACAGATTTATTTAGGGTCATTTTTGGCGAGTTCAGTGAGTTAACTCGGCCTTCTTAACTCGAGTGTGTCCAAACAAGAAAATCCGACCCGATACACCACATCAAATAACGCGGATCCTTCAAAAACTTAAAACAAACCAGATTATTTAGAGATTTTTGGAAGCCCGGTTCTGAAAATCTAAAATTAACACAAGAATGGTATCAAAATAAAGATTTGATTCAGTTTCAATCGATCATATATCTTCGCTAACTATAAAATATTGTAGAGATTATCTAATTTATGTTTCTCATATTGTAAATATATTCACAAATCTCACTAAATCATAATATTACGGCAACTGCTACATCTTCACTTGGAATCTAAAATATCCGGATATCCTACATTCCCGAATAACTACCTAACATTCAAATTCATTATTAAAAGATCTAAACAATCTCATAATTATTCTTAAATTGCAAATGTTGTTATGGCCATAAAAATATCTTAGAAAAGATTTGCAAGTAAAACAAGTGATTAAAAAACTTATTGGACTTTAGTATAAATGTTGACTAACGCTTCTGTCCAACACTTGCTTAAAGACTTTATAGTAAAGATTGTACCTTTGTTAGCTGAAAGGTAGCATGGCTTCCAAACTTCCACTTACCCCTGTCGAAGGTATTAAGCCTTTCAAATCCAGTTGGAGGATTCAGGTCAAAATCCTGCACATATGGAAGCAGTTTGCTTTCGCATCAGGAGAATCAATCGAAATAATTTTGGCTGACAAAGAGGTATGAGTTAATCACTCCCTATTTTTCAACTTATTATTGTTATAGATCATATAACATTATCTTTTTTCCAATCTGATATATTCACTACTTTCAGGGTACGAAAATTCATTGTTTTGTAAAAAAACAGCATCTTAAGAGATATGAAAAACATCTCTCTGCAGGGAACTGGAAGTTTATTGATGATTTCAACGTTAGCCATTCTATCGGTCAATATATGACTACCAAACACTGTTACCGTATTAGTTTTGTGAAAGACACAATTGTGACTAATTCGGTTACGGTATTAGAGTCAGATTACTTGGATTTGGTTCCTTACAATCAGATTCATAATGGCAAGCACCCCCAGAGCATCCTGTGTGGTACGAAGTAATATTTAATTCTAAATCTATGTAAACAGATATCATTGATTTCTATCTAACTATATCTATGTTTTCAATATAGATGTGATCGGGCAAATAGTGAATGTGGGTCAACTGTCTACTATGCATGTTAATAACAAAGATGCAAAGAAGATTGATTTCGAACTACGGGATGAGCTGTAAGTATTATCTAAATTTAATTGGAAGCTGTAAGTTGTTTCTACATTTATATGTTTTGAAGCCATAGGTTTTTAGCGTATTTTTGATACTTTATTCTCAGTGATATGCGTCTAAGCTGTACCTTATGGGGATCTTTTACTGATTAAATCGTTGAAGCCACTTCCAATCCTGAAAGGGAAAAAGTAATTTGTCTCATTAGATTTGGAAAAATCAAAGAGTTCAGAGGTAGTGATTATTTTGGACATATATTTACTCCACTATATTTATAATGCCAAAACACATTACTTACTATGACTTTTAAAATGACAGAAATAAAAAGTGTTTCTAACGCTTTTGATGCCAGTTTAGTAATCCTAAACCCACCAGGGGCAGAAATCCAAGATTTTTTGAATGGGTTAGTTCCTATATACTTTCACCTTTTTACAGTGTATATTTTAACTTTCCTCATGAAATCTTGCATTTTATAGATTACCAGATGATGGTCTAGCCCTTACTTTATTGGAAACTAAACCCAAAAAGGAGATTGTAGCCAAGACCGACGATTACTGGAACCAGTTTCCTATGGTCACTATCTCTGAACTTAGAGAACTAACTGAGGTTTTCAAATTTTTTTGAGTATGATGTTTATCTGTATACTTATATTTTATTGTTATTTCTGTATTCTAATAATTCGGTAAATGTTGTAGATTGGAAAAGTCAGGATCATCTGCACTGTCTATGCAATTGACACTGATTGGGGATGGTACTATTTTGGATGCAAAATAAAAAATCACAAGAAGGTTAAGAAAATAGTGGCAGGAATCAATGAAGTGGTTCCTTTGGGAGCGAAACCTAGGTGTCATTGTAATGAATGCAACAAGACTATCACCAACGTTGTGCCCAAGTAAGTCACGAATTTTGTTTATTTTGATACCATTCGCTCTAAGCTATCATAATATTCATAACATATTGTCCAATTACAATGTCAGGTTTAAGTTACATCTGAAGGTTATGGATACAACAAGTGAGATTACTATATTGTTATTCGACACATCGACAACTGAGATGTTAAAATGCCAAGCATCAGACTTACTCAATGGATCATTCGATGAGGTTTCGTTTAAAATTTTCATGCTGTGCTTTTATTGAATCTCAGTTACCAATATATTTGCTGCTTATCAAATATGGTCGTGTAAGTACGTTGATTCAGTTTATTTCTCAATTCCGTAGATCGAAGATCTCCCACCCACTATCAAGAACTTAGTTGGAAGAACATTTCAGTTTGTTCTTGTTGTTGATAAAGAAAATCTGGGTGGTGGTCACTATACTTTCAAGGTTTCCAAGATTTTGAGTAACAATGGTATGGTTGAAGATTTGACTGTTGATGATTCAGAAAAGCCAGTTACTATTTCTGAATTGGTTTCTGGTGATGAGGTATATTACTATACTAATTGTTGTAGGTGTTTATAATTCGAAGTGGTTCCTTAACCATAATCTATTGTATTTTGAATAGGGTTTGTTAACTCTTACCAACACTGAGTCAAATAACGATTTTGATAATCGTTTCCAAGTTACCCCTACTTCGAAGAGAAAAGATGACACTATAAGCTAAGTTTTCGAAGATCAACATTCAGCAAATAAGAAACAATGCCTAGGCCCGGTCAAATCGAGAAGTTTGGGAGTGATATCAAAAGTGGCTAATGTCGAAAGTTTTAATAGTTTTCTGCTGAGTGAGTTGTGTGCTATTTGGTTTATATTTCTCTAAAGCATTGTCTAATTATTTATTATTACTCATTCTATTCTTTGTCATAAAACACACTACTTCAACATTATTTTAAGTGATTCAATTATTTTTTGTCTTTCTTATTCACTATCTTTTAATTGCTTTTTTATATAACTATGTTATCTAATTCATATAGTAGTGTGTTATTCTCTACACAACTATACTGGCGTGTTGTGATTATCAACAACACTAGATGAATATATATGGAGAATATACATCACATACCTAATTAGCTTTGTCGTTACATATATGAATATATGAATAAGAAAACTTACCGAGAAATACAATTTGGACGGTGTGTTATTCCTGTATCACATCTTTCCCGAGTTTTAACCAATGTAATTAAATGTACCTGTAAAAAAAAGGTATTTTCTTAATCGAAATAGAAGTAAGAGATACATATATGGTTATCCAATATTTAGATATTATACGTATAGGCATCATTTGCGTCTTTTCAATTGATGTCTTAAGATGCATCTTTTCGATATTTGAGAAAATCCTAATCGTTGTTTTGCTATATATATGAGGGAAGACTATTAGTGCTTCTATCGCCCAAAACCTCTCATTGTTCTCTCTCTCTTTGAAACCCTACATTTTTCAGTTAACTATGGATGGTATTTTTCACAATATCAGAAATTTAAACCAGTGGAGATCTAACTGGTACATTCGTATTATGGTTTTTAAGTCTTGGGAATCCCAATCTCAAGGAGAAAGCGAAGTGTTAAACTTCATCTTTGTCGATGAAGAGGTATGTTTTACTTCATCATATTATATATTGTTACTTGAAACTGTTCTTTTAGTAGTATGTTTGTCTAATGTATACTTTATTAAAACTTTGTAGGGTGATAAAATTAATGCTATATGTGATGATATTCAGAACCAGCCATATTACAGAACAAAACTAATTGTTGGTAAATGGTTTAAGTTGCATCATTTTACTATCTTCGAAAGTGATGCAGTTAATCGTTTGGTTGATTGCATGTGGAAAATTCGTCTTCTCGACAACACTGATGTGAGGAAAGAGTATGATGTAACCGATGAGCATTACATGAAATTTACAAGTTTTGATGATGTTCTTGCTGGAAGATTCAACCGTGTCCTACCTGTTCGTAAGTATTTTTAGTTTGTTTATAAGTTAAGCTTTGTTAACATAATTATTACTTAACATATATTTATTTTTCATCTATTTTCTCAGATGTGTTGGGTAGGATATCTATGTTTACAGATATTGTCAAAGTAAAAGATCCGGACTTTGGTCCTGTGTGTCCTGCCAACACTTGCAGTCTCGAATTTGATATTCAGAACACACAGTACATTTTACTTTCATATATTGTATTGATAATCATGAATGATCTGGATTTATAGTTCACATATGTTCAAACTGTCTCTCACTATTATATGTGTTTTGTCTTTCTTAATAATTCAATTTTTATTTCACAAAGGGACAAACTTAAGTTGTGTTGTTCATGGAAAACTTGCCCTTCAAATCACTAAAAAATGGTGGAATTTCAATTCGAACAATATGGTTGTAATCCTAAGTGATTTTCGTGTGGTCAATGTTGGAGGTATGTTAAAAAATATAATTATTCAAAATAATTAAAAAATTTAAATTGTGCACTTTGAGCGAGTTATATGTTTCTTTTTATATAGAAAATGTTCGTTTGATTGTAAGTAGTTTAAACCTTTTCCGAGTTTGTTACATTTATAATTTTTGATTGTTACAACCATTTCAACATGTTGTTTCCCATTATTTCAGAAATGGCAATGATGAAGATTCTGAATAGCCTATTCGCAGTGTTTTGCCAATTCCTATCATTAAGAAACTTTATTTTAAAAGATATTCTCCTTTGGTCTTCCTTTTCTTATTCATTTCAATATGTTGAACAATTTAATATTTTCGGGGATAACTACTATATTTTATTCATATTCATGCATGTTTTTCCTATTACTACTTTTGTTTGTGGTTGTGTAATATAAGTTTTTAAGCATTTCGAAACAAACTATTTTCTGGCAAAATCTACAACATAGTTGAGAAAAATCGCTTACCTACAAATCGTCGGCAGTCTGAGGGTGCTATCGTCGCCAGACACTAAACATAGGATCTTGATGATTTAATTGTAGCCTACAACAATCATACAATTTGTAGTTACTTATTAAAATCATCTTACCAAAATTTATAACAGAGTTAAGGATAGATCTCAACTAAATTATGATATAGTTCAATTCTGTACAATGTTCTAAATTTGCTTTTTGATTATCAATAAAACTGGATCAAAAATTTATAGAGAATATACCTTACACACCTAATTGCCTCTGTCATTACATATTAGTATCTGATTACTTTATTCTTTCAACTTCACCTTGGTATTTACAATCTGCATAGTAATGTGTTCTTTTGCTGTCAAAATAAACCAGTAAATGAAAAGTATTGTTACTTTCAAAATATAATCATGAAAAAGCTTTTACTGTGCAGACTGAAAAGTTTTTAATTGGTAAACTTACCGAGAAATGAAACTTTTCAGTGTGTTGTCATATCAAATCTTTCCCGTTTTTGAGAAAATGCAATCAAATGTACCTGTCAAAAAGAAATTAATTTTGATACTCGAGATACGACCTAAAATATCGAATAAATAGATATCAACCGATATATAGTTGTGTATCATGTTAACCTACAATATCTCTCCCTATATATACGGCCTCAACACGTAGCAGTTTTATCATGTTCTAAAAAAAACTACCCATTATACTACTTAATTTTCCACAACTGAAGCAATGTTTGAGTATGATAAAATCATAGATCTGCATCCATGGAAATCGAATTGGAAAATGCGTGTCAAAGTTCACAGAAAATAGAAAACAATTGCGATTGACGGAGAAGAGTCTATCCATTTCTTATTGGGTGATGAACGTGTAAGTATGATTTTGCCTAGAGTTTTTATTATTGATGAGTTTGATTTTGTTTTTGGTCGATTTCATTCTACTAAGCAATAAAGCTTTTTTCGAACACATTTATGATTTAGGGAGACAAGATCCATGCTGTTTGTAACTGGGCGTGGTTGTATGCCTATTTCGACAATCTCATGCATGAAGGACAGTGGAAAAAAATCAGCAACTTTACAGTTGTTGGTGTCGTTAATGTGCAGCGTTTAACTAACACACAGAAGGAAATACATTTCCTTGAGAACACAGATGTTAAGCGATCTAACTATAACTCCGAAGAGCACTATCTGTCATTCAAACCATTTGATGATATCTTTTATCCTGGTGTACACATAAATCTCCCTGTTGGTAAGATCTCTAACTAACATTATTATATTTTTCCCTTACAAATCGCTTTGTTAATGGTTTTAAGATCTTCATATAGATGTCATGGGGAGAATCACT